AATGTTCTACTCTTAGGTCTATACGAATTTAAAAACTTTCGATACAGTTGAAGTAAAGCCTTCGTCACATTAGAAGACCCCTATCAAAAAAACGAGATTTTTAAATAGTTTCTGGACTTTATTGATTTTTTTAGCATATAAGTTCATAATTATATCTAAATTCAATACGAACAATATTTTGCTTCCATCCTTATAATGAAGTATCAAGTCCGGCGAGTAAAATCTTGAAAAGCAGCTAATAGGTAACAAATGTGCATTACAGACTGCACTCCTTTCTTAAAAACATATCGTGGAGTCATTTTAGTACTCCGTTGCAGCCTACTCTGAAAACATTCTTGAGGTTCTATAACGAAAACACACTTCCATGTTCGTAGGATCTAATAAACACAGTACACATTCGCGCATGTAACACATGAAAAGATCTTTGTATAATAGTATTAACAGATTTGGTAAAATGCTGCTATGTATTAATCAAAATGCTTCTTCATCTTCCAGTTTCTTCTAGAAAATTAGAAACATTTTCACTGCAAAACAGTCTTTCATAATTGAAGAAAACATAACTTCATGTATATACGTCGTGGTTTGATATGTGAGTACTTCTTTTGAGTCTGAGAACGCATTTCTTTTCTTAATAACATCCAAAGGCCTTTTTTCGAAACAAACACAAAAGAAAACACAAAGTCGGTATTCAAATGCTGATTTTCTATAAATAGTTTCTTCACAAGAGAACCGTATTCATTGAAGTTATTAACCAGTCGAATTAAATAAGTGTGATAAAAAAAATTAGTTTTATTTTTTACATGTAGTTAGTTATTGAAAAGTTAAAATCCCTAGAGGAAGTACTGAGTTCAGGGTACCCATGTACCGAGAAAGCTCTAGCAGGGTACCCAGTAGGAGTACTTTGAAAATTCTCAGTAATTTTACTGATGTATGTACTGTTAGGGGTACCCTTAAAAGTACATTCACTGAATAAGTACCTGCATGGATACACAAGTCTGTAACTTTACTGAGGAAAGCTCGACAAGGTATCCTAAATTTTTCGCGTTCTGTGTGGCGACTATTCATTCACCGTTTTCTTTTTTACGTACGGCTCTATATAAACAACTCGATAAATCATAAGAAAATAATCAATTTTCATACTAGTTTTTTCTAAATTATTTCTTGACTATTTCTTAGTCGAGGAAATGCTGAGCTTGGTCGTAAATTAAGATCGGACTACCCTGAAGTGGTCTACGACCAACTCAAGTTGAGTCGGATCTCGAAATTGTTCCTGCTAAGTTTTTGGAATTGAAAAAATTAAATTGAATAAAGTAAAAAAAAAATCTAGTAAATTATCTCAAGAAAAAGAAAAAATTTTAAAAAGTCAAAGATCAGGTTCGATCCTGAACATACTGAAAATTTGGTAACAGGGTACTTAGAAATACTATACAATGGTACCCAATTCAGTACTTGATCAGTACCTTTAGGTACTCAATTACTGTGCATTCTCCAGCAGGGTACTTGCCATAGTACCACTTAGGTACCTGTAAGTACCTGCAAGTACTTTGGTACCCAAAAGTTCCTGTGACATACTGGTATCAGGGTACTTTTTTGGGTACCCTTAACTCAGTATATTCTCTAGGGAATGCTCCTTGTTTTTACTTATGAAATTTTCCTGTAGTTTAAAAAGTTTTTCTTAGCATGTCAACTGTCAATCTACAAATCGATGTTTAATCAATAGAAATATAATACTTCGATGTCTTGTACAAAATTTAACTGAAGATGCTATATTAACATGCACGATGGAATGTCATTTTATCATTAGTGAATGGAACACGAGGTGAAACCTTTAGCCTGTAACTATTTGAAAGGATTTTATTTGTAATTTAAAAACTGCTATTCTCGTTTTTCTTTTTAGAATTCTTCTTCGAATTTTAACTAATACTCAACAATTACCTGATCAAATCGATATGAGATTAGTTTCTCTTGTATTCAATTATCTTCATGTATTTATGCATATTATGGAATATGATAATCAGTCAAAATAATAGTGTATTTATAGATAAGAATACGATAGTCTAGCAATTATTATTAATATAAAAATTTAGGTTTGAAACTTTAGGAATAAGAAACTAACTGAACAGGTAAAAACTGATTTCTATCAAAGTCAAGAGAGCTTAAGCTTTGATGATAATCTATATGATAGTAACATATCATCCATTAATTTGAACATAAAACTTTCCTTCAATTCATTAATTCCTAATGAACTAGCGAAAAACATTTGAGTTTAAAATTTCTATGCTTATATAAGATCTATGATTTTATTTTAGCTAAACAATTTCGAACAATGGTAAATGATTTTCGTCAATTATGAATTCATGATGAAACGATACATCGTCTTGATACATTTTCACACTTAATTATTTTAAGTGAATATTTTAAATTATTATTACAATGAATACATATTCTTAATATGCTTGATTATACACAAGAAGCATGATGGTCACCAATATTAACACTATCATCATTAATAACACATTTATCTATAAGTGATCAATTACAATCTTATTGTGGTTTAATATATTATCATGAATTATATGTTAAATATCGAACATCAATAATAACACATTATCAATTATTCTTTTTTTTTTTGAACAACATGATATTTGTGCATAATTTATTTAGTTTTATGCATCATACATAAGTTGCAAATTATTTATTCGTTTATAAAGAAATAAATTAAGGTGAAAATGGTCTTGTTTTAGTTTTATTAAGTGAACAATTTATTCCATTATCATATATATATCTGTATTATATTTAGATGAATTAATTGTTTATGATCGTATTGAAATCATGTTAATACTTCATCAACAAAACATTAAATAAACAATTATTATCTTAATATTTACCATTAATTTTATAAATATTATCAATCCCAAAATCAATCGATATTATTAAAGAAGATTTTAATAATCTTAATTGTCCTATGGATATAACACAAAAAATTGATCCACAAATGCTTAAAAATGTCACTTATAAAAAATTATTACCATTTATGATGTTATCGGTATGTTTTAGTATAATTTATCGAAATAAATAAATAAATATATATATATATAATAAAAATTTCATTTCAATTTAAAGAAAAATATTTGATTTACTTTGACACTGTTTATGTGTTAGTAATAGATGAGATTTTTGAATAATTCAAAATTTCCAAAAAATATTCTGAAGTATAAAACTAATTGATCTACTGTACTTATTTATAATTTCTAATGTTATGAAATGACTATTGAAGAAAAGAATGAAATAGTTTTAAAAGATATGTCGTAAGATGTTTTCATTTGTGTTATTTATTTTCAACCGAAAATAATTTTTAGAAATCATAAATTTCAAGTTTATGAAATATTCTTCAAAACAAATATCATGAATCGATGACTATGGATGCTATAGTGATGTTAATCTTATATTCATTTCGAGTTTTTTGATCGAAGAAGGTCTATTTAAAAAAAGCAAATGACTTTTATAAAACATTACGAAGTCTTTCTCGGACGATAGAATTGTATTCGAGAATTTCAACAAACTTTCTATTGGTTTGAATACCTGGACTCCAAAAACATATTGGGTTTTTTTTCCATAGAATAAAATTTTTAAGATGATTCTTATAGTAAATAAAAATTGATTTGAGAAAATAAGAAACAATATAAAACTTTTGTTTTTTTGTTTTCCTAGGATTTTATATAGTTAATTTCAACAGGTGATATATATGATTTATTATGTTTTATAATATTTATATCAGAAATAATTTATATAAATATATTTTAAAAACAAAATCATTTCTTAGTTGTGGAAAAGATGAAATAATATCATATGTTGTACATTATTCATAATACTATTATCAATATTTGAATATCTTTATCAACAACATGATTTAACTCTATCAAATAAATAAATCAATTATTACTTTTATTATTTCATGATCTTGACCATCTTTATTATTTAACAAGAAAAATTAAATATATGTATCATCTATTTATTGACATGATTTACGTTGTATAGTTATATTTATATTAAGACAATTTTGGAGTTGATTGATTATCAAAAATACAATGTCAAGAAATAAAAGTTTCAATTTTAGTGTTCAATTAATCCACCACAAATCAATCTAATGATGAAAATGAACAAACAACAAATAATTTAATAAAAAATTCTAAAGTAAATTAGATTTTATATGTTCTTCTTTTTTTTTAATCAGTGATCAATATATGCAAACGCGTTCAATATTAGATAAAAGTTTAAATAATTTTTTTTAAAATATTGAACGATTAGGTACACGTGATTTATTATGCTATGCACAACTTTCATATGATACTATATTAATATCAATTAAAAGTAATACGAAATTACCATTAACAGTTAATGTAAGTTCATATATGTTTTAAGAATTGACAAGTAGAACTTGTTTTTCTATTAATATTAAATATTCAACATAAATGTAGAAAAAGAAAGTTATCGAAAGAATTTTAAACTTTATTATACTGAAGTTTAAGTTAAGAGAAAAGCAGATTTATTGTTAAAGTATTAATTTCATCAAACAAAAAATCTAGTATTTATCAATAATTTCACATATATGCTGATTACTTGTGTTCTATTAATAAAGTCTAAAATATGAGAAATATTTTCTATCAATCAGAAAACTAGAGTATAAACATTTCCTTCGCTGGCATTCACCTTTAAAAATATATAATTTAGAGTTTATTTCCTTCTCATGGTCTTGATTTAACATCTTCATTACAAATTCTAATTGATGAATTATATGTTCGTTAGTTAACAACAAAATTCAAATAATTTTTGTATTCAATTAAAATATGAATTAATTGATTCATTTATATATCTTGCGGATTTATTTTCATCAATTATATTTATATGATTTATTTGATGAATTAATAATATTATTAATAAGTTATAATTTATGCAAATCTGGTATATTACTTCAACAAACAACAAAATGACAATATAATCAATTATATATACGTTTAATTGAATACAATTATAAATTAACTAATATTCATGCATATACATCATGTTTACTTAAATAAATTATATAATAGAAGAATTAAATAATAATATATAAAATGATAATTTAACACAAAAAAATTATATCAATTAGTCTTGAAAGACTTTTAATAATTGGTCAATATCTTAAAAATGATATATGGTGTTTATATGAAATACGTGCACGTATTTATACATTATTACAACGATCAAAATAAAAATACAAATTCATTAAATAATGAACATGTTAATGAAGAACAAAGAATGATTAATAGTTCATCAATAATATCATCATCAGATACTATTCTTGTTGAACTTGTTGCAGAATAATATGCACGTACTAAACAATCATCAACATTACCATGATTACTTGCACATCTTGGTTTATCGGATCGTTTAATGAATAAAATAGTTTTAGAATTTGCTGCATCAACACAACAATTATATCCTCAAATACTTGCATATACAGTTTTTGCTGTTTTTTTTGTACTTTAATTAATGTACGTTATTCAGCTAAAGTTAATAATTAGACTTTATTATCAATGACAAGTATTGCACAAGGAAAATCAATATGTATGACTATATGAAGGTTAACTTGTTTTAGGGTAAGTGTATGTTCATCATATAGAATTGCTGATGCATTGTAAGTATTTACTTAAATCATTTATTCTTAATCTTTAAAGAATAAAAAAATTGTATTGAAATTTAATAGTGAATTAATATTGCACGAGTTTTTCTGGATTTTTTCTTATGCGTAAAATCGAGCAAAGTTGTATTTGGGTTGTTGAATGAGCTTTTTTTTTAATCTATAGTTAAATATTCTTTTTAGTTCTTTTTTTCAAATTATCAAAATTTACGCGTAAGATTAAAATTTATTTGGAAAAAATAAATAGTAGAATATTAATGAAAAAAAAAACCCTTTGTTATAATTGCGAAGGAATAACGATCAAAACAAAATCAATAAATTTCATCATGAAATATTAAAATGAATTCTCATAGATAATATAGTATATCTTTTACTTCTTTAGGATTTCACTGATGTTATTATGCTTCAATGCTCATATTGTTGATCGAGAATATTATCTGCAGGTATTATAAAAGAAAATCTCCAAATATTAATTGTATCAAAATGAAATCTATTTTACTTATTTTATTTAACGAGTATCAAACAATGACGTCAATTTGAACAAGCATTCATAAATGAATCGAATCCAGAAAAATTATACGCTCATTTACTTGCACACATTCAAAATACGATCTTATCATCGTCTTGAGTCTTGATGTAGGTGTAGATATTGTTTGTTTGGATGTGTTAATGGATCATATACTCTCTCTCTCATTCATACCCAAACCCTCAAATAACAATCATATCTAGATTATCATTAAATTTTAGTTGCATATACTAATAAAAAATAAGTTAAGTAAAATATCTCTAGTGAACGTTATATTATTGTTTGCAAAAGATAATCAATTTTCACGAAAACTATCAGTCACATTTACTTTGTGTAATTGTGCTCTAATTTTTGTTTGGCTTGTTGCTTTGTATTTTCATATCTTGTATTTTATTATGATTTCAATTATTGATTTAACTAGTAAATAAGTCGGTTAAAGTATTCACAAACATATTTTAAAATTTTAAGTTTCAAGAAAGGTTTTAAAATATTTTCGAATAGTCTAAATCTAGTTGATGATGTCATTCTTCCTCTTTTTACTAGGAAAACTATGCTCATTGGTCTCTGACCTTTAAACCATGTCGGTGGTGTCTAAGAGAAAGCTGCACAAATCTGGACTGATACTTGCATTTATAACCAGTAATCCTTATATCGTTTTGGTTTAGTACATTATTAGTAAAAGTACCGACTATATATCATTCTACTGCACTGTTTTCTGAAAATCCATTGAAAATGATAAATTCAAAAAGTTTCGCACTACAATCGTTTCTTTTTATTCAAATAACAATTCTTTTTTCTTGATGTATTATTCGTATTTTTTATTATTTTTTTATCAATACAACAAAAAATTTCATAATAAAGAAAAACAATGGAATATTTTTATGTAAAAAGTAACTCATCCTTATTTTTAGTCAATATTATTATTATAATTCTTATATACAAAAAAACTGTTTATGTATCATTCATTTCATCTTCATATATTAGAAAATATGAACATTAGTGTTTTCTTGTAAGATGACAATCCGATTATCCCTTTACAGTGTTTAACGATAATTATCAAAAAGGGAATCAGACAAACTTTCACAGGTTCGAGTTCAGTTCGGTGCTTGAAAGGCATAGTATTGTTCTGCAAAGTTATTTTAGATTTTTAATTAATAAGAATTTGTTTATGAAAATCATAAACTTTGGTAAGTTAAAACTCAACAATACAATCATCAAAATACATGACTTCAGAAAAAATGGATCATAAATAACGAAAATCCGATCATCACTATAGAATATTCTGTATGAAAATGGTTTGCATCGTGTTTCTGTTACATTCTAAAGATATTAAAAGACTTGTACACAAACCCAGGTTAAACAAGCAGACGGTAAGATCTTACAAGATAGAATACTTCAAACATATTTAGATTTGATTTTAAATTTCTTCGTGAACTTGGTAAATTTTTATAAATGTAAATTGATTGCACATCGTTTGATAATCGTATATAACATCATAACTTTACAAAAATGATTATATCTTAGCTAATCATTTTTTTTCTCACGTGTTTGTCTATATTTATTCATTAATATCTGTTTGTGTCGAAATCCGTTGTCCAAATGGATAACATGATGCCGAATCTTGTTCTATTTTAAGATGGGCGTATTCTTCAAATCTTTTTTCTCACAATCTACTTTTATGATTTAAATTTTGTGTTCTAACTTATCTAACTTTGATTCAAATATTTTTTTATTGTTGACATAGTAAACTTTGTATAGATGTGACGAAACAAAATAAAGAAATCTTTTCGCGTATAATTTCATTTGAACAGATGTATATACAATAAGGTGCGGATTTTTGATTCATCTACCGATTCACATACCCTATTGTGTATGAATTATGGTTAAGATAGAAAAAAGTGTAAAACAAATATTGTTTTCGAACTTTTATCTTCTGTCCCAACCGATTCTATCCATTCTAAATTCAATCAGAGTTGTGTTTAAACAAGTCAAATGATTGAGTTTATAGTGGAACTTTAATTCACAGTAAATAACATAACTTATCGTTGTATTCTTCACTTTTTCTCTTGGAGAAATATTTCTTTGTTTTTCGATTTTGGGACAATTATCAATTCAGTTTGCGTTTTTGTTTTAACAAGGAAGTCATTGTCAACTCGTCTAGACTAAGAAAATATTTTCCCACAGTTACAGTTAATTGTTTCCCTCTTTTGAATAAATCAATTAATCTCATCTCCATTTTTCTAGCTAACTGTGTCTTATTGACATATAAGGTAACTCGATTTCCACCAAAATGATTTTCTCTCCAATATGTCATTCTCTGAAGTCATGTTTTCGCGTACATTCTCCATCGACGAAATTCAGAAACTGAGATATTATCAGTTAAGTCTCCGAATCTTAAATAAATATATTTCTTTCGAATAAGTGAAAATTTAGATAAAATTGAAACTGATTTGTATCACAAATATTCACTCTGTTCTTTAATTAACCTTAAGAAAATCTTGTATTTTTCGTCAAAAAAAAAAGAATACTCACGTTTGGATATATTTGAAATATAAATTTTTCAGAAGTTATTCAAAATAAAAAGAGGACTTTGCAAGGTCACGATCCGTAAAATGATGATGCTGAAATCTTGCAGAACGCTGATAAAAATAATTAATAGTCATATCATTAGTTGTTTTAAAAATATTCGCTATAGTCAAAGAAACATTTCAATCATTAGCCTTAATAATGATTTCAATATAATGTAGTATTTAGACACAAATTTTTTGATTACTAGTAAATTTATCGATAAAAATCTTGAACAAACTGTTTAAATTCTACTGAAAAGTCATGATTTTTATATGTTTCCTCGTACATCGAGATGAGTTCAGTGAATGATAAAGTTAATTTAGTCAACTGTTGTCTTTGTAAGAAGATTCATGGTTTCACAGGCTACCTATGCCTTTTTCTTTTGATATCAGATAGGATTGTTGTTACTCTTTTCAAAGAACTATTGCCTTTGGTTAATTCTATATTCAAGTACCAAACTTGTTTGTGTCTCCTCTATGATTATAAGTATAGCTATGGCCATCAGTACCACAATAATTAATTATAGGACACCATTAACATTAGATATGTTATTTATTGTTTTACATGTGCTGTATTTCTACGATGAACATAGGTAACAATATTTTAGAATTTTTGGTTAAAAAAAACAAGAGAAAAGTTAGGAAAAGTTACCAATCCTTCATTTTGATCGGATTATCTATTAATAGAGAAAAAGAGAGAGAAAGCTTTATCTAATAGGAAGACAATTTGAAATACATCAATATATTCCACTGCTTGCTGAAATTTTATCAATGTCAAGTGAATACTTTCATCTTATATTTTTGAGAAAAATTCTTTTTCATGATACTTATCATTTCAATGGAATAATATTCATTTATCTAGCATCTTCTATTGAATTTTAAAAAGAACACTAAGAGAATTTCAATTAAACCTGCAGAAATTGTCAAAAAATATATCCAACCGAGTAGAATATTAGATAACAAATACTAAAACAGGAAACTTTTCAAATATAAGATTGTCAATATGAAGACATTTAGGAATATAAAGAATGTTGCAAAATTAAAATCATAATCGCCCAATATGATGAATATTATTCCACTGAAACGATAAATTTTGTATCAAACTTTTTCAAATAAAAATACATACAGCTGTTATGAAAAAAATTCTTCTTAATGAAGTGTAAGATGAAACTAGCCATTGAAGATTAATACGATAGGAAAATAACATTGAACTAGATTGATGCATTCTACAATATTATATATTTCAATCAATGAACAGTTTATAAATTCATTGTCTTCTAATATTAACTTGTCATATATGTTTATCCACATCAAAACAGCAATGAGACAAATGCTTGTAAGGTTTTTTACATCAAAATATTAGCTGTAACTGAGAGTTTCTACACTGAAAAAAACTGATTTCAATGTGGATGAGACCAGAAAGAGGAGATTCACTCATACCCATTTTTCTTTGACTCCGTACGGAAGATGCAAGAACGA